GGGTGTGTGTGTCTGTTTCTGTGTCAGTGTCTGTGTCTGTGTACGTGTGTGCATGTCTGTGTATGTGTATTAAAATACAAATAAACGCAAGCGTGGGTGAGATATATATGTGTGAGTACAGCGCACTTATTATGGCGCTATGACATATTTGTATATGGTTGATTATACAACTGAAAACATTCGAGTTATGTTTTTTTTCCGTATCAGTGATTAGATATGCTGGCGCTATAGACGTTTATTTGCTTCAATGTACGTGCCTAAACTACTTCAGAAACACTTTTAACTCTTCCCCAAGTACCTCACTCTCTTTGTCTAACGCATTGCCTTCAATTAGGTGGATGTGCGGATAGCTAAGCTCTTGGTCTATGGCGCAATGTTTGGGTGCACCGACCCCATCCTGACGATGGGAGCTGTGCTGTCGTGTCGGTCGCCCTTTCTTTCACCAATGGACAAGCGCGAGGAGGCCAACAAGTATGGATATGTATATACTCCTTGCATGTATATATACAAATATTTTTTTAAATATATATATACGTGCACGTATGTGTGTGTAGTCGTTTTGACCTTGCGTGTTGTTGTGAGTGCAGGTACGCATGAGTACGCAAATGGAAATGTACAAACGTATGTTTGTGCGTGTCTTCATCGTATGTGTGATCACTCAACGTGTCTGTGAGTGTATGGTAGATAAAACTGGTTTTTCCGCGTCAATAAGTTTGCATAGCCAAGCCCTTGTCCTCACTAGGCAAGTGTGACAAGTTAATCGGTCACGGGGTCTGTGATAGATTGCTCAGGATCGTCATTCGATGTTGTAAACTTGGTTTTCTCATGACATAAATTTGTTTTGCAGAGCCAAAGCCTCGTTCTCATTGGGCAAGAGTGATCATCTGACATGTCTGCGAGTGTACGAAGAGTGGCGGAAGGTACGCGAGCACAGCAACTCGCGAGAAGAGCGCGCATGGGCCGAAGAGGTAAGTTTTTGTGTGTCGTCAATCTTATGCATATTAGTATTAAATATATATATATATATTATGTGTGTGTCTGTGTGTGTATGTTTGTGAGAGAGATAGAGTGTATGTGTGTGTGTGTGACTAAGGCTAAGAAGTACTCACGATATACATATATATATATATATATATATTATATA